ACCTGAGAGATGGAAGTTCCCGGAAGGGCGGCCCCGCAGATGCCTCCCCAGGCCCTGCAGAGGCCTCGGGCCAGTAGGGTGGCCTGGACCCAGCTCATGCCTCTGCTTGTCAGACAATCACCTGGCCCAAAGAGAAGATTCAGCATTAGTCTGGCAACTTACCCGCTAACAGATGCAAGGGCCCCGCAGGGTTGAGGGCACAATCCGGATTATGCGGTTAACTCACCAGCCCCGATGTTTACCTTACCCAAGAAATGGGCTCAGATGACTCAAAGACTTTGTCCATGGAACAGCACCACCAACCCCGCTGCCCTAGGGGCGTGATCAAAGCTCAGTACAGCCTCCAACTCCTGGGCTCAAGTGATCCTCCAGCCCCAGAGCGTCGAGAAGCTGGGACTACAGATGCGTGCCACCATGCCCAGCTAATTTGAAAATAGTTTGCAGAGACCCAGGGTCTTGCTGTGTTGCCCAGGCTGGTCTTGAACTCCTGGCTTCAAATGATCCTCCCACCACTGTCTCCCAAAGTGCTGGGATCACGGGTGTGAGCCACCACTCCTAGCCAGTACAGTCTAATTTTATAAAATGTGTGTCACTCCAACAAGAATCCCTGTATCTGGCCAGGTGCAGTGGCTCACGCCTATAATCCCAACACTTGGGGAGGCTGAGGCGGGCAGATCACCTGAAGTCGGGAGTTCGAGACCAGCCTGACCAACATGGAGAAACTGCATCACTACTAAAAATACAAAAAATCAGCCCAGCATGGTGGTGCATGCCTGTAATTCCAGCTACTTGGGAGGCTGAGGTAGGAAAATCGCTTGAACCCGGGAGGCAGAGGTTGCAGTGAGCTGAGATGATGCCATTGCACCCCAGCCTGGGGAAAAACAGCGAAACTCCATCTCCAAAAGAAAGAAATTAAATCAGTATTTAATTTCCCTTCACTCCCAACCCCAGGAAACCACTCATCCACTGTCTCTATAGATCTCCCTACGCTGGGCATTTCATACAAATGGAATCACAAGTGCTCCTTTATGACTGGTTTCCTTCACTTGACACGTTTTGTTTTGTTTTGGTTTTGGTTTTTTTTGAGATGGAGTCTCGCTCTGTCACCCAGGCTGGAGTGCAATATCTCGGCTCACTGCAACCTCCATCTCCCAGGTTCAAGCGATTCATTCCCATGCCTCAGCATCCCGAGTAGCTGGGATTACAGGAGCATGCCACCGCACCTGGCTAATTTTTGTATTTTTAGTAGAGACGGGGTTTATCATGTTGGCCGGGCTGGTCTTGAACTCCTGACCTCAAGTGATCCGCCAGCCTCAGCCTCCCCAAGTGCTGGGATTACAGGCGTGAGCCACTGCGCCTGGCCCACTGACATGTTTTCAAGGTTCCTGCATCGATTTTTTAAAAATTAATTTATTTCTTTTAGACAGGATCTTGCTTTGTTTCCCAGGCTGGAGTGCAGTGGCACAATCTTGGCTCACTGCAACCTGCTTTCCAGGCTCATGATTCTCCTGCCTCAGCTTCCTGAGTAGCTGGGACTATAGGTGTATGTCACTGCACCCAGCTAATTTATAGATTTTTTTGTAGAGATGGGGTTTTGCCATGTTGCCAAGCCGGTCTCAAACTCCTGACGTTGTGATCCACCTGCCTCGGCCTCCCAAAGTGCTGGGATTACAGTCGTGAGCCACCGCACCTGGCCTTTTTCTTTGTTTTTGTTTTTGTTTTTTGAGATGGAGTTTCGCTCTTGTTGCCCAGGCTGGAGTGCAATGGCACGATCTCGGCTCACCACAACCTCTGACTCCCGGGTTCAAGCGATTCTCCTGCCTCAGCCTCCTGAGTAGCTGGGATTACAGGCATCCACCACCACCCCCAGCTAGTTTTTGTATTTTTAGTAGAGATGGGGTTTCTCCATGTTGGCCAGGCTGGTCCTGAACTCCCAACCTCAGGTGATCCACCCACCTTGGCCTCCCAAAGTGCTAGGATTACAGTCCTGCCCGGCCAATTCCATTCTTTTTGGAATGGAATATAACCAGGTTTTGTAAGGCTATAACCATATTTTATTTATGCATTCATCAATTGATGGACATTTGGAGTTGTTTGCCAAATGTTTTTGACTGTTATAACTACTACTGCCATGAACATTCGTGTAGAAGTTTTATGTGAACATATGTTTATACTTCTCTTGGGTATATACTTAGGAGTCGAACTGCTGAGACATATGGTAACTACATGTTTAACAGTTTGAGGAACTGCCAGACTGTTTTTGGGGATGACTGCACCATTTCATATTCCCATCGACAATGTACAGTTGACCCTTCTTCAACAGAGGTTTGAACACCGTGAGTCCATTTATACGTGGATTTTTTTTTTTCCTCAGTAAAAGTTATGGCTGCACATGGTGGCTCACGCCTGTAATCCCAGCACTTTGGGAGGTCGAGGCAGGTAGATCACCTGAGGCCAGGAGTTCGAAAGCAGCCTGGCCAACATGGAAGAGACCCCATCTCTACTAAAAAAAAAAAAAAAAAAAAAACAAAAATTAGCCTGGCATGGGGACACGCTCCTGCAGTCCCCAACTACTCAGGAGGCTGAGGCAGGAGAATCACTTGAACCCAGGAGGCAGAGGCTGCAGGGGACTGAGATCGTGCCACTGCACTCCAGCCTGGGCGACAGAGCAAGACTCCGTCTGAAAAATAAGACCAGGTGTGGTGGCTCACACCTGTAATCCCAGCACTTTGGGAGGCTAGGCAGGAGAATCACTTAAGGTCAGGAGTTCAAGACCAGCATGGCCAACGTGGCAAAAGCCCATCTCTACTAAAAATACAAAAATTAGCCAGGCTCCTTTTGCGGGTGGCGGCAAGTGTGGAGAGGATGCCATGAAAACCTCGGGCACACTACAAGAGTACAAGGTGGTGGGTCGCTGTCTGCCCACCCCCAAATGCCATACACCGCCCCTCTACCATATGCAAATCTTTGTGCCTAATCATGTCGTCGCCAAGTCCCGCTCTGGTACTTCGTATCTCAGTTAAAGAGATGAAGAAGTCTTCAGGGGAGACTGTCTACTGTGGGCAGGCATTTGAGAAGCGCCCCCTGCGGGTGAAGAACTTCGGCATCTGGCTGCGCCATGACTCCCGGAGCGGCACCCACAACATGTACCGGGAATACCGGAAGCTGACCACCAGGGGCGCTGTCACCCACCGCGACCGAGACATGGGCGCCTGGCACCGCACCTGGGCCCACTCCATCCAGATCATGAAGGTAGAGGAGATCGCAGCCAGCAAGTGCCACCGGCACAGGACTCCAAGATCAGGTTCCCGCTGCCCCACAGGGTCCTGCGCCGTCAGCACAAGCCACGCTTCACCACCAAGAGGCCCAACACCTTCTGGCCCATGTGTGCCCCAGATAAACTCAGGAACATCCCGGTAAAAAAAAAAAAAAAAAAAAAAA